TTTTTTTTTTTTTTTTTTTTAACAAATTGAAGGTTCTGGCAACCCTGTGTCAGACAAGTCTGTTAACTCCATTCTTCCAACAGCATGTGCTCACTTCACATCTCTGTGTCACATTTTGGTAATTCTCATGTGTGTTAAACTTTTTCATAATGCTGTTGCACACTTAATAGACTATTGCACAGTATAAACATAACTTTTATGTATGTTTACACTGTTGTTGTTTGTTGTTATGTGCCGTCGAGTCGGACCCGACCCATAGCGACCCCTCCTTGGGTTTCCGAGGCAGTATCACTACAGAACCCAAAAAGTTTATGTGACTCACTTTATTGTGTTTGCTTTACTGCATTGGTCTGGATCTGGACTGCAGTGTCTCTGAGGTATGCCTGTATCCTGTTTGATCCCCAGCAGGAGTATATGAGAGTTTCAGTTCCTTCACATCATCATCAACACTTGGTATTGTCTGTCATTTTGATTATAGCCATTCTAAGGAGTATGGAATGCTACATCATTGTGGTTTGGAGTTGTGTGTCACTAAAGAGTATCTTCTTCTGTGCCTTACCTACCATTTGCATACATTTTTTTCTTTCAATTGTCTGTCGAAATGTTTACCAGTTTTCGAATTGGGTTTTACATCATTATTAAGTTTAAGAGTTTATTTATTTTATTTAAGTCCTTTATCAGATACATGATTTGCAAATATTTCTTCTAGTCTGGGCTTGTTTTTCATTCTTTAATAGTCTTTCAAGGAGCAGAGTTTTTAATTTTTATTAAATCCATTTTATCTATTTGCTCTTTTATGGCTCTTATCGTTAGTGTTGTATCCAAGAAATAATTTGCTAAAACTAGGAGCTCTGGTAGCATAGTGGCTAAGGCACTTGACTGCTCACCAGATGGCTGGCGGTTCAAACCCATCAGCCACTCCTCGGAAGGAAGGTTGGGCAATCCTACTTCTGTAGTGATACTGCCTCGGAAACCCAAGGAGGGGTCGCTGTGAGTCAGGGCTGACTCGACGGCACATAACAACAACAACAACAAGGTCACAAAGGCCTCCTCTTATGCTTTCTTCTAGAAGTGTTAGAATTTTAGGTTTTATAATTAGGTCTGTGATACATTTTGAGTTCATTTTTATATATGGTACAAGATGTGGATAAAAGTTCATTTTTTTTGGCATATGGATATCCAGTTGTTCCAGCAATATTTGTTGAAAAGACTGTCCTTTCTCCACTGAATTGCTTTTAATCTTTGTTTAAAATCACCTATCCATGTATTTGTGGGTATATTTCTGGACTCTATTCTAGTTCATTGGCCCATTTGCCTGTCTCTGTGTTAATAAATAGGCGCTCTGGTGGCTCAATGGTTAAAGCATTCAGCTGCTAACCAGGAGGTCGGCAGTTCAAACCCACCACCAGCTCCATGGGTAAAAGATGAGGCAGTCTGCTTCCGTAAAGCTTTCCTCTGTTCTATGGGTCACTGTGAGTTGGAATCGATTCATTGTTAGTGGGTTTGTTTTATACTAATACCATATATCTTGATTTATGACCATCTTTATGATAGGTCTTGAAATCAGATAGTGTTAGTCTTCCAACTTTGTTCCCTTTTTTTTCCCAAAAGTTTTGGCTATCTAGGCATTTTTGCATTTCCAAGTAAGCTTTACAACCAACTTGCCAAATTCTATCTTGACCATCAGAGGAAATCTAAATTCAGCTTTAAAAGGGAAAAAAATTTCAGAGTATCACCAATTTCAATTTTTCTTCTTTCAGAGAATTGTGTCCCCATAGGCTCTGGAAGTTTTTAAGACGCCGATATTTTTTTTTTTTTATCACTTATTATGCAGAAATTGTATGTCTACCTCTTTAAAAACTGAGCTAAAATATTGAACTCAATTCAGAACACACATTGAAGACGTTTGAATAAATAATTACAATAAAGATTTTCCGGTCCAGGAGAATTGCTTTAAAACCTTTCAAATTTCATCATTACGAGGATGCACCTTATTTATATTTTCACAGTATATCTTTTTCCACAGTTGACATGTTTAATTTTCCATGTTACTAATTAACTGAATCCCCCCATGTAATGTATAATATAGTTCTTGAAATTAGCATTCATTTTTCAGGAATAGTCTGTAAGTATTCTGTTTGCTGCCTTGCACACTTTCTGAGAGGAAGTTATACACCAGTGGTTTCCTTGTGGAGGAGGTGGGATGGGAGGTGGGTGGAAGGAACTCAACATTCTCTCTTTTCTTTCTTGGACAAATGAACCATTCTGTGACTAAAATCTGAAAACTGCTGACACTAAAGCATAGTAAGTACACTAATTTACTCTTTCTTATTTTATACTTTCTATTTTCAGCATCTTCCTATCTCCCTCTACCCAGTCTTTAAAAAAATCTCTACTAATGAATATGAGCAAATTTATAGAACAGAGGGTACTTTTTTTATGCTTCTTAAAAAAAAAAAAAGAAAAAAGTAGTTAATGCACCCTCTTCCTACATTTCTGAGTCATGATGGTGACAATCATCTTGAGATAAATATTGCTACCAATTTGGATGAATACCATTTTTTCCTAACAAGTTATGATCTTCTTACCTGTTTTTGTTGATACCAGAAGTCAAGCACAGAGAGTTTTCCTTGCTATGATCTTAGGTGAATAAGTTAGCAACTCTGAACCTTAGTTTTCTTTTCTGCAAAATTTGGTAGTAATACTGAACTTACCTCATAGGATTGTTTGTATCAGATGCAATGATATAAATAAACCTCTTAAAACATTCAGCTCCTGGCAGTAGGGGAAAACCACTGATGAAAACAATGAGAAATCTTACTTCCCAAATGGTTAGGGCAATTACAACTTGTGGAGGCTTGGTGGCCCTTCAAGGGTATCTTGAGTCTCCCCTGGGCGTCCAGTGAGAGAGGACCTGCGTTGGGACCATCCTATGGAGAACTGAGAAAACAGTCACTCATTTGTAGTAGGGCGTACTACGCTCCCATCCCTGTCTGACCACGTGTGGATAGCACATAGCCAGTGCCCTTCTGGATGCACAGTAGAGAAGTTAATGTATTACACACAATAGCTGTCTTAGAATACTGGGACTCCATTCTCCCCTGAGCTAGTTGAGTCCAATCAGGAGACCCTGGCTTAGAAACCCTAAGGCCTCAATACTTCACAGAATCTCCCAGTTTCGTGGATCCTCAGCCTTTTCTGATCCGAGGTCAGACATGCTTCCAGGCAGTAGTGGTGTTGGCAGTAGACTGTCACTCTCCAGACCCCATTTCTCTTGTGTACACGACTGTGCTCCTGAAGGGAGCCCTCCTGAGTGGGGATGCCACTCCCCTAGAGGGTGCAGGCTGAGAGGATGCACTCTGCCTTCTGGAGCTGCCACTGGCAGGCATCATTTTCTTCTGTGGCCTCCCTCCCACTGTAGCCCTAACAGTGTCTGTGCTCCATTTCCCATCAGGCCTCATGGACAGGAAGCCCCGAGCTGGTTCCTGCAGGAACACAAAGCCTTCCCAGTCCAGCCTGAGCCTCCCTCGGGAAGTAGGTTTACAGAATGGAGAGCAAACAGGTGTGGTGGGATCAGAGGTTCCTGTCAGTGGTGCTTCCTGGACGGGCACAGTGATCCCAGGCGAGGAAGCTGTTTTCTCGTGCTCTTTGTATTGGCCTTGGTCTCCTTGCATATGATACTGACCTGTGTCTGAGAGTGGCGAGTCATAGTGCCCACCTAACAGTGTGGGAACCTCTGTTTTGTTGCAGGCACTGCTGGCAGGCATGAGGAACCGGGAGAACAGCTCACCCTCCCTGGGTAATGGAGAGCAGGCTGGCAGGGGCAAGAACGTGGGCGCTGTGTGGCTGGGTGAGGAGGACTCCTGCAATGACATGACCACCCCTTCCTACAAGAAGCCTCTGTACGGCATCTCCCACAAGATCATGGAGAAGAAGAACCTTCCAGTGGGGGACCTGCTCAGCACCTATGAGCTCTTCGAGAAGGTAAATGCCAGCAACAGCCCCTCCCCACTGCGCCTTCTGAATGAGTCACAGAAGCGGGATGGTGGCAGTGCCACAGCAACCACCGACGGCGACCCCAACATCTATTTTCTGATCCAGAAGATGTTCTACATGCTCAACACCCTCACCTCCAACATGTCCCAGCTGCACAGCAAGATGGATGTGCTCTCGCTGGAGGTGAGCCGTATCAAGAAGCAGGTGAGCCCCACTGAGATGGTGGCCAAGTTCCAGCCGCCCCCTGAGTACCAGCTCACAGCCGCTGAGCTCAAGCAGCTCGTGGACCAGAGCTTGTCGGGTGGTGACTTGGCCTGCCGCCTGCTGGTGCAGCTCTTCCCTGAGCTCTTCAGCGATGTAGACTTCTCCCGCGCCTGCAGCGCCTGCGGCTTTGCCAAGCGGAAGCTGGAATCGCTACACCTGCAGCTCATTCGCAACTACGTGGAGGTCTACTATCCCTCAGTGAAGGACACGGCTGTGTGGCAGGCTGAATGCTTGCCCCAGCTGAATGACTTCTTCAGCCGCTTCTGGGCCCAGCGGGAAATGGAGGGCAGCCAGCCGACTGGCCAGGTCTCCAGCTTCTTCGAAGCTGAGCAGGTAGATGCTGGCCACTTCCTGGACAACAAAGACCAGGAGGAGGCTCTGTCTCTGGACCGGAGCAGCACCATCGCCTCGGACCACGTGGTGGACACGCAGGACCTCACCGAGTTCCTGGATGAGGCCTCGTCACCTGGGGAGTTTGCTGTTTTCCTTCTGCACCGGCTTTTCCCCGAGCTCTTTGACCACCGGAAGCTGGGAGAGCAGTACAGCTGCTACGGGGATGGTGGCAAGCAGGAGCTGGACCCGCAGCGGCTTCAGGTCATCCGCAACTACACGGAGATCTACTTCCCTGACATGCAGGAGGAGGAGGCCTGGCTGCAGCAGTGCGCGCAGCGCATCAACGATGAGCTTGAGGGCCTGGGGCTGGACGGGGGCAGTGAGGGTGAGCCCCTGCGCGACGACTGCTACGACTCCTCCAGCCTGCCCGACGACATCTCCGTGGTCAAGGTGGAGGACAGCTTTGAGGGGGAGCGCCCTGGCAGGCGGTCTAAGAAGATCTGGCTGGTGCCCATCGATTTTGACAAGCTGGACATCCCGCAGCCCGACTTTGAGGTGCCGGGAGCCGACTGCCTGCTTAGCAAGGAGCAGCTGCGCGGCATCTACGAGAGCAGCCTGTCCATCGGCAACTTCGCCTCCCGCCTGCTCGTGCACCTCTTCCCCGAGCTCTTCACCCACGAGAACCTGCGTAAGCAGTACAACTGCAGTGGCTCCCTGGGCAAGAAGCAGTTGGATCCGTCCCGCATCAAGCTCATTCGCCACTACGTGCAGTTGCTCTACCCACGGGCCAAAAACGACCGTGTCTGGACTCTGGAGTTCGTGGGCAAGCTGGATGAGCGCTGCCGACGCCGGGACACGGAGCAGAGGCGCTCCTACCAGCAGCAGCGCAAGGTCCACGTGCCGGGCCCTGAGTGCAGAGACCTCACAAGCTATGCCATTAATCCCGAGCGGTTCCGAGAGGAGTTTGAGGGGCCCCCGTTGCCCCCTGAGAGGAGCAGCAAGGACTTCTGCAAGATCCCCTTGGATGAGCTGGTGGTCCCCTCGCCCGACTTCCCGGTGCCTTCACCATACCTGCTGTCAGACAAGGAGGTGAGGGAGATCGTGCAGCAGAGCCTCTCTGTGGGCAACTTTGCCGCCCGGCTCCTCGTCAGGCTCTTCCCCGAACTCTTCACTGCCGAGAACCTCCGGCTGCAGTACAACCACTCCGGGGCTTGCAACAAGAAGCAGCTGGACCCCACGCGGCTGAGGCTTATCCGCCACTACGTGGAGGCAGTCTACCCGGTGGAGAAGATGGAGGAGGTGTGGCACTACGAATGTATCCCAAGCATTGATGAGCGGTGTCGTCGCCCCAACAGAAAGAAATGTGACATCTTGAAGAAAGCCAAGAAAGTGGAGAAGTGACAGGCCTATGGGGCATCATAGGACGAACAGCGGGCACCCTGGGGACTGAACATTATTTCTGAGCACGTGTATGGTATCCACGGACACGCACCTTATGGCAGTGGGGAGTGGCTTACATTTGCACATGTAAACACCCACCAGACCACAAGCAAAGAAGCCTTCGATTTGGTCTCTTGTACTTATGACTCTTGCCCTACGTTCCCTGATGGCTCAGCCAGAGTCTGGGGAGAGCCAAGCTGTGAGAGCAGAGAGGCGGAGGGGTACGGGTCCTCTTCCTGGCTGTGTCCTCCCGGTCACAATTCAGAATGCAAAGGCACCAACTCTTGTTCTCTTCCCACATTTTACATCTTCCATTTTTATAAAGTCTTTTTTTTTTCCTTTCTCCTTTTTAATTAAAAAGAAGTCCTCTTTAAAAAAAATTTATTTGGCTCTTTTGGGGCCATTTTACTTTGAAAAAAATCTTTTAAATATTTGAGATATGATGACTTCAGATGCTAGGATTTTTTTTAAAAGATGGATTTAGATTTATGAAATTTTTAAAGTGCCACATTCACACACGATAGCTAATCAAAGCTTCAGGTTCAGCGTAGACTGATTTTACTGACCGTGGTTTTTACATCTGAATTGGGAAGAGTCAGGATACCGCTTGGATGATGGTGGTGGGGTTGGGATAATGTGAAACCCTTTCCAACCATGTCTGTATTTTCTTTGCACTGTCGTGCCATGGAAGGTCTCCGTGGGGTTCGGCCTGCCTGTCGTTGCCAGGTCAGGAGAGTGTCGTGCTCGCTCCTGTAGACGAGAACACTGGATGATGATGATGATGATGCAGACAGATGTGGAGACTCATGCTGACAGCGTCTGCATCTGAGCTGTGTCCTCCTACTGCCCCCATGCTCTCCATAGGTGGATGCAGGCTGGAGGGGTAGACACATGTCCTTAGGAAACATTGCATGTGGATATTTGACTTCTTAATTGATGTAAGGATGGGCCCTTTTGGGCTCAGGAAATGTTTACTTTCCATGTGTGTATTTGTACAAAATCCAGGTTCTGGAGCTCTGTGGTGACTTCACCACCCCTCAGTGTGCTCCTTCAGTCAGTAGCACGTCCTGATTTCTTGGGCCAGCCCGGGCCCGGGGATACCTGGCATTGGAAGGACACAGGTTGTTATTTCAGATGGGGCTCCCATGACCTTTCCCAGGGGTCTACTCAGAACGCTCCCCTCGGATTCCCCTGAAGGTCCTGCTGCCCTGTACCTGGCGCATCCCTTGGCCTGGGGGTGAGCCATCACTTCTCTCCCCACGATCGGGAAGGCCACACTGCTCCAGGCCAGCAGTCTGCTCTCAGGGAGCGCCAACAGGAAATTGCCCAACAGGTAAAGTCCTTAAAAGTGTTTTTACCTGCCTACAATGTGGGGGTCACATGCCTAAGAGGGAAAGGAAACAGTCTACCTAAACTGAACATACCCCACCAGACACCTGGACAGCTAACTGAATCATACAGGGTAGTCCTGAAATCCTTGTGAAATGTTACATGTTTAGTAACCTAATGGCTTAATATTTTGCTACCTTAGAATGCAGCAGAAATGAAACACTCTGTGAGTTTTCTTCCTACAGCTGATGAGGACCTCGGTTCTGGCTGTGACCTAATTTTGCCTCTTACATCCAATGAACCTTTCAAAGAAAATGTGACACAAGATTCTGAGCAATGTAAAATTCCTGACTAACATCAATGAATTTGCTTTCAAGTGTCATTTACAGATTATTTCTGTTGAAACTGCAAACCTAACTTACTGAAATTTAGAACTGCACAGGGACTTAATGACTCTCTCTCACACACACATATGCATACTCGTTTCTTCTTAATAAAGAACCTTAGATGAAGGGGACCAGCGTGAATAGCAAGTTCAACTCTGTGCCTGGAAAGAAGGGACTCAGGCAGCCAGGAGACACTTTCCCCCTCATTTGGGCCTTTCTCTATGCCTTAGTCTCTCTACCACACACACGCATGCATGTACACATACATGTATATACACACACCCCCTACCCAAAGATGGTAGTAGTGCTCTCACCCTCTGGTCCCGCTAGTCAGGGGTGCCGTGAAATTTGTTTTCTGGTCTCCAGGGTGTATCCAAGAGGATTCCAAGCCATGTGAAAATTGCCCTGCTTTCTAGACGGTGGAATGTGACCCTGACACTTCAGAAGCACAATCATTAATTAGTAATAATAATAAATCTTACCTACCCATCTCTAGAGAAATCAGCAGATTTTAGGAAATAAATAGGTCTCATCGTAGCTTGAAGAATGTTGAACTTTTTGAAACCATGTTTTGGTTGTTTCCTTAATACCTTTCCCTTGTAGAGCTTCTGCCTCCAGAACTAGAGTCTCGTAGTGAAAAGAGGTGGGCATGCTCTGGGAGCTGTTTCCTGTCCCTCTGATCCGTCTACAGGAAATGCCTTCAGGTCTGTGTGCTGTCTGTCTAAGGACCTCAGCTTTCCCTCCGTACCGGTGGGCTCCACTCGTGTTTTGTTTTTTACATGAAGCAATAGAAGTAGGAAATACTTATTTTTTCAAAAATTAATTAATGTGTTCTAGAAAATCTATTGGTGAGTCCACCACAGCCCCCCCCCACCATACACACACCCCAAATCTAAATTCTTTGAATTTTTACTTGTCTGGTTTTTTTGATTTTTTTTTTTTTTTTTTCTTTTTCTGTTATTTGAGTTGAAAATATTGATTTTGGTTTTTTTGATTTTTTTTTTTTTTTTGGAGGGGGTTGGGGAGCTTGTATCCCAAGTACTGAAGAATGAGCACATACACATTCTGATATTAAATAAAATAGTAAGTCACAGTAGGTGGTAGTGTTCATCGTTTTCTATTAGTAAGTTTTAAAAGAATGTATGAAGATAGTCATGAATGTACTAAGTGTTCTAATCCTGCTTCAGTTCACTTTGGCTGTGTCTACATGACAACAGGCATTTGACAGGGAATAAAGTCGTGTCTAGTGTCATGGGCACTAATGTGTCCCTCCCTCCTCCCCCTTAAGTGTTGGCCCCAAACCTGCCTTTCCTTTTAAGTTTGGTGGGAGGGGCACTATATCAGCATCATCAACCAACCAATGGGATCTACTTAGTGGTGAACAGATTAGCTGTTTACATGGTAAGAGTCACTGGCCTGACCACACCACAGCGTGGCCATTTGAATTCCTGCAGAGATGGCCTCCATTTCCACCTTTACCTCCCGCCCAAAAAAGTTTGCTTTTTGCCTGATTGAGAGGGGTCTCCATGTTCCGACTGGAGGTCACTGAGCTCTCACTTCGCCAGGCTGTGTAGATGGATAATACTGAAGTGGGGCCGAGGTACTAGTACTGCAACTTGGAAATACTTGCCTCGTGTAGATCCAGCCTTAATGTTTTCTGACATCCTAGTAATAGCAGACCCTGCACAAAGTGGATATCAGAGTAAATACTGTGAGGAGACAAAATAATGAGAATAGTTTTACCAAAGAGAATGAAATATTGCATAATGTCTGCATTTGATCACTGATTTGAGTGCGTCCTTAGAAAACTGAATGTAACAAAAACCCAGGACATTTTTGGAAATTGTATGCTCTCCAGCAATTTTGTGAATTTTTGTACAAGCACTGTTTTATGAGTTCTATAAAATGTTATAAAAATAGAAAAAATATGGTCTCGTAACATCTTATTTTCTTAGGTCACAGGTCTTGTGACATTTCTTGGTCTCTGTCTTTCCATGTGGGTGCCTCACCCCTTCCCAGGTGAAGACAGGAGGGCCCTGGGGTCCCACACCGAGTGTCAGGGCTACAGCTCACGAGGTCGCCAAATGAATCCATCCCTGCTGCCTGGCCTCTTAGCCTGTTTATATACAGACCACTTCCTTGCCACGCAGTGGGAGGCGCCTTTGACCTTCTAACCTTTACCTGGCTATGTGCCAGACCAGCACCTTGACAAAGCTCCCAGAGCTGCGTTTCACTTTAACCTCTGTTTTCACTTTGGATCAAATTGGATTTAGGTCCTCAAAGTTAAATATTAGCCGATATATGAGCCAGCATGCTAATACATCAGCCAATAATACATCAGCTATTACATACCTACATATCCTTAAATTAGACATTAGATATGTTGGCTTATACTAATTATACATTAGATATGTTGACTGCATGTTTTTTCTCACTGGCTAATTTTGAATAATTGGGCCTTAAATCACATTTCATAATAAAAATAATGTCTTAAGTTGCCAAAGAAACTTTTCTTTTGACCCAGGAGTCACAAGATACAAAGTAGGTCGTAGCTCATGATTGGAACACTTTTCCTACAGTAAGTGAATGCTTATTTCAGATTCAATAATACTGATTAGAATGTGTACAAGTTAAGCATCTTTGCTCAGCCTCGGTGGGCCAGCAGTTGGAGCCTCAAGCACTAAATTTACTAGCAAGTTTGAGCAAGACTTGGAGAAAGCCTAAATTTTTCAGCCCCTGCTGCCTGTAGATAACTTTCTTTTCTGCTAAAAAGAAAATTCAGAAGGCATTTCAATATATGAGGATGTATTTGTAAAATCTAGTTCTCCAAAAGACCACCACACATCAAGTTAATTATAATCATTAGACTGGTGAGGTGCCATGGGCACTAAGAAGAGAGAGCTCCCAGATAAATCAGCCAAGTCTCCTGGGGGGTGGGGGAACAGGAATGAACATTCATTGACTACTATTGACATCTTACATTTATTGAGTATATATCATGTGCTAGGCACACATGCCAAGAACTACCCGGATGATCTCTCTTAATCCCCTGAAGAGCCCCATAAGGTAAATTGCAGTTAACAGAAGAGAAAACAAATACCTCCAAAGTTAAGTAACTTGTTGTCCAGAGTCACTCAGAATGGTACATGTGCTGATTAATTCTTATGGAAACTCAGTGCTGTGGGCACTCTTCTCTCTGTCCTGTGGTAAGGAAACGCAGAGGTTCACACGCTGCACAGTGGCAGTGCTGGCATCTGAGCCCAGGGTTGCCTCTTCCCATCACAGCACAGCATCTCAGGAGCTAAACACTGCACCACAAAATAGGAAGATTC